AGAACTAACAAAAACTATCGTGGATTAAAAGAAATGTTTCTCAAGATTAATCCTATTTGCTTAAATCTATTTGTATAAAAACCTTTGATTAAGGGAAACACAAGAAATGGAAGCTGCATTTCTTTATGCCAGGCTCGTGTTCATCTTGGCCAGACATTTCGGTGCAACCCTGATCTAACATGAATTGTCAGCTTGGTGCAAAGCCACAGGATGTCAGCTCCAATCAGATCATAATATCTCCAACTCATTCTGAATTGAATCTCTTTGAGAATCATGTGATGATTCTTGATTTTAATTCCTGATACCGTATCTCTGCAAAAGTGAGGATTGAAACACACCTCCAAAAAATAGGCCATCCCTTGGAGAAAAGTGAAACGAACGCATGAGATATGCATGCGACATAAATATGCATGAGCAATTTCTGTGCTCTATAAGCTCTACAAAAGACGGTGTTTTTTTAGTGTTTAGGAAACGTTTCTGTCTGAATTAGCAACTGTCAAAGTGGCATGGTTGAAAAGATTTTCTGCTGTAGAGAGGTGAAACTTCAGCTCTTCAAACAACACAGCTTATCTAGGGAAGCAAGTTGAGACATAGTTGTCTTAGAGCTCTCCAAACCCAGCAAGGTGTCTTTGCAAATTCTTTTGATATTTTTTTGTCCTGGAGAGTGCCAGACTCTCTCTCACACTTCAGAAGTGTGAGAATTTTGCTTATCTTGGAGAGAAAAGAACCCAGGAGATAAATGGAGATAGAAATAATAAGAAAAAACCCTACTGTGCTCTCTTCTAGAAAATGAATAGGTATGTGTTTAATGCGGTGGCATTACTTCTTTCTTCTACTTTCAGAATCTAATTTTGTCCAGCACTTTGTAAATTTTTTAGACTTTTTTTACAACTTCTGTGGAGTCTTTCCATTATGCAGAGCAGCTTCCTCTTGGCACCCTTCCTGTGTGCATAGACACTGTGCCTCTTTTCCAGTGCAGTGATAAACACTAGCATTTCGTGCCCATTTCTGGCAATCAGCAGCCTTCTGTCACTGAGAAGTCAGAGTTAAGCTGATGGAGGTTTGGAAGAGGCTTCTGAGGTGACCAAATTACTGTTTTAAGGTGAAGCTGGAAATTGCAGATTGGATGAGATCCTCTGTCTTCAGCTTTGCCGCCCCATCATGAAGAAAGAAGCATGGTCTTCAGTTGGAAATTTTCCAGGTTCAGATTTGGACTGAGGTGATCTTCGATCTTAAAGTTTTTTCTCACCATCTTAAAGATGGTGAGAAAACGGGGAGATGAGAATGAGGGAAAGACATCTTTTAGCATGACTACTGCTTTCAGCTTTCATCTTCTAAACTTTAATAAATTTAATCACAGCTAGAAGAGTTCTGGAGAAGTCAAATTATGTAGAAGCATTGGCACAATTTATCAGTTGCAGACAAAAACTAAAATAGAAGTGCAGCGTGTAGAATATGCATTCCCTTCTGCAGTGTGGTCTGTAGAAGTATTTTACTGAAATGACCTGCTGCCAGCAAGACGCTGAGTGGGCTATCTCACTGTCTTTCTTGGGTCTTAGTATTCTGAAAGGAGAATAGGAAAGTGTAAAGAAAGCTGGAAATTTATCAAAGGCGTCTTTTTTTTATTTATTTGTTTTGTGTCTGAGACAAAACATTATTGTTCCTGGATAACCTGAGATTCTTGTGGTACCCAGTGACTGATAGGGGACTGAATCATAGCTCTTTCTGGAATGTTTTTTAAGTTTGAGATTTTTCATTTTGTGAAACGTCTGACTGTCCAGGAAATGCTGTATTGGACAGTGTGCCTGAACAGCAACCAAGGCTTATTTCCTAAGCTGCGAGGCTACAGCTGCGTACGGAGGGGGCATCGATGTCTTCTAACTCAACAGTTCAGCCAGCAGTATCAGCTTCTGTATATTGCTTCTCCAGTACTGTAAGGTAATGAATTATGTACGTACGGACCAAACTTCTGATAGCAGTGGTATTTTTCTGTGCTTAGCATCTTTTGGCTCCTGCTTACAAAGAAATACTTCAATTATTCTGGGGTGTTATTGTGGAAGAACTGGCTGACTTGATACAATCATTGTCTCGTTGTGAGTGTACAATCATTGAAGAGGCTGGGGAGTGCTGCTAATCAATAGAAGCAGGCTTTTGTTAAACACTTGTTTTTCTTCTCATGCTTCTTTTCTTGAACCTCTCCAGTACTGTTGATCCCTGATGGTATTTGCATTTGCCTTCCCAATTACCAGCTTTGCTGTTGGTGAGCAGGACGTAGATTTTAATGCGGTGAGACTCCACGCAGTAGGCATGGTCCCAGCCTCATCAGTTATCTGCTCCTCTCCAATCCTTCTTTCTTACAGTTTGAATGTTACCTATCTTTAAAGTGTAAGATCTAGTACTTCCATGCCAAGCAGACTGTGGGTACTTTGCTGCAACTGGCTGACTCTAGAACTTCTTTTTTGTGAGATCGCATGCACTCCAATCAGGTGGTATCAAAAACTTTTCTGCTTCAGGGCTTTTATGAAAGCGGACTCATGTCATGAACCTGGCTTTATGAATTGAAAATGTTTTATTCTTGGGTGCTTTTATGATGAAAGTAATAAAATTAGCACTACAGCTGATCCCATCAGTGCTTGCAGTTCGAGCAAAATAGGAACGGTCACACAAGCTTTATTATTCTTTTAGATCTGTTAATCTGGCATCTTTCTGGAGCATTAATTCTACATTTTGCCTGACAAATAATTTGACTCAAAAGCATTTGATTCTGTTAGGGTAGTTCATTAGATTTCAGAAGTGTGCATGCTAGTATTTGTATTTCTCTTTCTATACATCTTTATTATTGAATGTACTTGGTTCCTTCTCTGGGAACAAGTAACTTCATGGAGTTCATGGCGTCATGATGCTGCAACAGATGCTACAGCTCAGGCTCTGAAAACCCAACTGAAAAATATTCATTTTCATATGTTACAGATGAACTTCCCATTTAAGTCTGGTGGTTTGTTTTTTTTGTCAGGATGGTAGTTCTTCCTTACTGCTACTGAGTAATAAATTCATTCCTGTTAGAGAATGATTCATTAGCATGTGGTTTGCATTTGCAGGAAGCCAGTCTTGTAGAGACCACATTCCTGATGCTTGTTTTACAAACACAAAATGCAGATGTCTTCCTTGTACAAGCAAGTCAAAGGTGTCTGTCTGGGTCTGCCAGGCTGGGGGCTTAAGATAACAACCCATCCAAGGCTGGCAGTGGTACTTCATCCATACAAACTGGAGCAGACTGTATGTGTTGTCAGCAGCAGCCCTGTGTGCCACGTTCCATCTAATCACAGGCTTCTGCACTGGGAGGGAGGGCAGCCTTTGTTTTCTGAGGGTCACATCGCTGGTAAAGTCAAGGAAGGTGATGTACCAGATATGGCACAGTGTGAGCTAATGCTTCAGTTCTTCTAGAATAAAGGTTATTTGAACATTGAAAATTACTTTTTTATTACTGGGATTTCTTAGTGGCCAGCAAAGTGGATAAATCAGAAAGTAGAGGTGGGTAAGAGCCATTTAAAAACCCTGGCTGCATCAGGTGTTGGTGCTACACTGGTTTAGCTCGCTGAACCAACTGTCCAGCGCTGACAAATGCCAGTGCAGGACCAGGGCAGTACCATGTGGCAGGAATAGATCAGTTGTGTTGTGTTGTGAAACTGCACCTCTTCAGCGGGGTAGATTTAGAAGAGTAATGAATATGCTGCCCCTAGGTGTGCAGAGCCTGTCTCTCTTGTAGAAGGAGCCACCATTGCTTGTTTTTCCTTCCAGTGTTGTGTTGGGGTTGCTGTGTATCTGTATTCCCAGTCCATAGGATCCTGTGATTCACCTGTAGCAGGATTCAAGAAGGCTTATGGCTGATGATTGTGACTGACAGCTTCTCTAGGGGGAAAAAAAGGAGCTCCTCCTGCAACTGGGGATGGAAGGAGTTGTGTTTTCTTTATGTATAGTAGAGAGACACAGGTGCTACGGTAATAGCTTGTCTTGGAGTGGGGGAGATAGAGGCCTTTAATGTCAGAGGGTGTTTGAATGCATTGGGCTTGCCCAGGTGCTTCCCAGCACAGAGAGGAGCGAGGAGGCAAGGGTCATGAGTCTTCTGAATTCCCCTGGGAGAGGTGTCTTGTTTGCAGGAGACTTGCTTTGTTTGAACTCCATGGGCCTGATAAAGGCATGAAGGGGTGGAGAGGCAGGTTGAAGGTCCAGCAGTTCAGCAGATGCCTGTGGTCTTGGTGGGTACCAGCCTAGACTGTTTTCTTCTGCAATAAACTGATACATAGAAGCAAAGGAGAACTTATTTGTTTGTACCCTTGTAACATGACTTTAAATGTCCTGTCGTGGTATTCTAGAGGGTGCTCAGGCTAGCACGGACTGTACTAGTGCTTGCCAGGAGTCCATGTAATGCAAGCAACTCTGCATGGAAATAGTCCCTGTCACAGGAGCTTTCCATCTTCCTATTCCAGTCCAGTGTATGTATAACTTTCTTCTCTACAGTGAAGGCTTGGGAAAATGTTTTGTTTTTCCCCCCCTACCTTTTGCTGTCACAGCATGTCTGTGTTTGCAGCTTGTTACTGCTTCTCCAGCTCAGGAAGTGGTATCTGCCTACCCTGCGGTTCCTACTTTGCACACTTAGCATGGACCCTGATCCCAGTCTGGTCTGGGCCTCCCAGGTGGTGACCTCAGTCAGGACTGGATGTGGAGCTTCCTTGAGCGGTTAAATTAATCCAGTGAATTCTTGATTCCTTACTCTCTGTGCTGTTGTGAGCTAGTTTGGGTGCATCCATGCTTCGTTCCAACCTGTATATTGCAGATGCATTTATGTCTAGTAGTTTAATGGGAATTGAGGTTCACTGGGCTATTGTACTGAGTTTGTACAATTTATTAGTCTTATAAGAAGATCATAGTCCTAAGCAGAGGTGTGGCCTCAAAATATGCCTAACTTGACCTTTTTTTTTTTCCTTTTATTTTCCACCTAGGTATCACATGCTGTTGCAAAGCTAGTATTAGTTAGTTTCCACTGGCAAATCTCAGAGATTTTGGAAAGGTAAGTGTAAATAGTCTTGTCTTTTCTGTGCTCAGTGCTTTTCCCCCTTGCTTTGCAAGAATGCTCAGAGTGGTCCATAGGTGTCTTTTTGACAAGCATCTTTGAACCTGAAAGCAGGTCACACAGTCCATTCCAGGGAGCAGAGGAGAAACACTGTTTTGTTGAGGCTGCATTGCCTGTAAGGAATTTGTAAACAGGGAGTGGGTAGTGATGGCGAATGTCTTTCAGTCTCAGAAATTATTGTCGTACTGGGAACCTTGTAGGTGCATTTAGCTTAAACTTTGAGGTAACAGATTGAGAGTGCTGCATCTATATTTATTTATTTTAACAAATATAAAGATAACATATGTTCTGTTTTGAACATATGAGCCGAAAATCATAAAGGAGTACTGAACCTATATTGATGCATTCTTTAGTAGTACATTCACATTGAATTTTTTGCTCCTTCTGAACATAAGTGATGTTTTTTTTCCAAGCTGGCTAGCATTTGGAGAGCAGGAGAAGATAGTGTGAAAGAACCAAGAAGTGCAACCCCTTTGTTGCTTGGTCAATGTCACTGTAACGAGGTCCTCCAGCTGATTTCAAAAGGAGGGTTCGGACTCTGCCCGAACATATACGGGAAGTGTGTCAGGAGGCACTGCTGTCTGGCAGCCCCTCCAGAAAATACTGGCTCAGAACTGAACATTGTCTGAAAATAGAGAGCACATCAGTCTGACTCATTCTGCCATGCCATTTTTGGCCCTGTAGCCAGCAACTTCATCCAGAGAACATATGGGAAATGCATCTCGTGTATGGATGTTGTTGCAGCATCTTTGGTAACTGGCTCATTGGTTACCATGTGTCCTGTGAAAGCTTTTCTCTGGGGAACGTGGAGGGTGAGATTCCTGCATAGCAGCTCAGGGCGATTCTGCAGGTTAACTAATGAGATTTAAACAAGAGGAAGTTTGGGGAAGGGTTTACTTCTAAAGCTATGACTTTGCAAGTTGTTCCCCAGTTGATCTGGTCCTCAAACTTCTGCCTGGCTATGAAGTGACATTGTCAAATGAAAGCTCCCTAGTATAACTAAACAGTGCTAGTGGGGAGGGAGGATTTACAGCACAGTCACAACAGTGATGCTGCTGTTTCTGAATTCATTGAGATATAAATGTTCCTCTGCAATGGAAATCATGAGCAGCAAAACATGTTTGATTCTAAGGCTGCTGATAGACAGCTTCATATGCTTAAGGGGTGATAATCTGTCACAGAGTAAATACTTAACTAGATAGTAGACTGGAGTCAAAGTGAGACCTAACCAGGATAGCTTGATTTTACAAAGGAATAGGAGACAGACAGGAGCCTCACTAGAGTGTGTTATTATAGGCAGTGGCTTAGGACTGCTCTAGGAGTGGATAGAAAAAGCTTGGCTTCAAAAATAATTTTTCAGGGGGAGGGAGAGAGTTGTAGAAAAATATTTATCAAGGAGTATGAGGGAAATGTTAATCCATTACTGGGAGAAGTATTGTTCCTGTTTCTGATTTTTGAAGAAACTCTCATAAAGTTTTATTGATGAGAGTTCAGCTCACTATGTGAAGGAGCCTCACACAGGACACATTTCCACTTTTCCTTGTTGAAGCCTACCCTGCTGTTTGCACAAAGCTTATCATTTATTCAGATGAGAAGGATCAATTTAACAATGCAAAATGTATTCAGAAATTGATTTGATCATTCTTCACTTGCCTTTTCAGGCACAAGTCTAATGCTGCCCAGTTGCTAGTAGAAGCACGAGTTCAGCCCACCTCATCCAAACATGTAAGTATGCTAACTGTTTTGGTCTGTTCCCTTGGCAGACACCTCTGACCCACCTCGTCGGAGGATTGCATTACTAATGGCATAGTCTGTCCCATATTAACCCTTTGCAAACTCAGGTCCAACACCCTAATTCAATGCTAGGTTTACTTTTTAAATGAGAATGCATTCAAGAGGTGTCTAACATTTAAATAGCAGCTTTACTAATGTCTTGCAGGTAGTGTTCAAGAATTACTTGCCTCAAGAAAATTAAGCTCATTTTTTTGGCATGAGTGATGGTATACAATGGAAGGAGCAGAGTGCATGGGCTTGGCTACCTCATCCAATTCTGCTCTCTCTGTAAAAGACACTCAAGGGAAGCTCTGGCTGCACAGAGTGAACAGAGCTTGTCTGTGGCTGGAACAGAGATTTCCTCCCCGCCCCGCCCCAAGATGACTATTTGCTGCACTGCTCTGCTCAGGGATGCTTAAGCCAAATCTCCCAGTGGTGTTGCTGCTGAGCCAGTCAGTAGTGCTATTTGAACCAACAGCTTGTGTTTTGCAGCCAGGGCTACACAGGTCTTTAGATACTTCCCCCACCCCCTTTAAATAGAATCTTCCTGTTGCATGTTTACAGGTTTGATTCACAGCGGGTGTCTTGGTACAATCCACAGGTACTGCAGGAACACATTGGCATGTGTCAGATTTTGAGTGATAAAATATTACATCTGAGAAACACTCTTTGGGTTGGGGGGAGGGGACATTTTTGAAAGCCTGATTTGGCATCTGAGCTGACTTGTAACTAGCAGAGAGTGAAAATGCTAAAACAGCTGACAGGAGTAAGCTTCATGGATGCAAAATAAATTATCTGCCTAGAATCCAGAAAAAAATCTTTGTTATTTGACATACCTGCAAATTAGTCCATGTATTTTGAGATTTGTCTGAATCTACTCCCAGCTCTCACTTAAGTACTCTCCACTGCAATGGTGATTTCATTTTGGGAAGAAAGATATTACAGTTAAAAGGTTAGTTTAAGACTTGACAAACTTGATTTGGTAGGCAATTCATTACAGTCTTTTTGTATGTGCTAGGGCAAGTTGCTCTGTCCTTCAGCTCCTAATGCAGAATGATGATATTTTGGGGGCAGATGCTCATACTGAGTGTCTGTAGAGCAACTGACCCTAAAGGGAGAAGCTATAGTGGTGAGCTCAGAGGGGCAGCTTGCGAAGCTTTGAGGTAGTGCGCTTGCTGCAAGTTGAGCAGTTGATGTAGGCAATCAACGCAGTTGTGGGCTCGGTGAATCTTGTTCCGGTGCATAAGTGAGGCCGCTTAGAACAAAGTCGCATTATTTCCTTTTTCATGTGGTCGTGCTATAAAACAAGCTCTGCTCGTCATGTGGCTGCGTGTCATGCTGCTGCTCCTCTGCGTCTCTGGCATGCAGAGCTAGGCATGGAAGCTGATGGCTGTCTCGCACAAGCTTCTCAAAGAGTAGCAAAGGTTTAAGTAGATGAAAAGTGATTGTATGACTTCTCTGTGAAAGGAGAAATAGGAACATAAACTCCTGCTAACAGCTTTGTAGAGCCTTGCTTTTGATGATGCTGTGCTAGACCTAGTTCTTCAGGTCCCAATGGTGAGCTGAGGTGTATTGGAGGCTAGATCTATTGTCTAGGGATTAGCTCTGGACTCCAGACTGCTTCCCAGTGGTTTGGTGAAGCAATAACAGAATTACGCCTGACTTGAAACAGTCTAATCCTTTTCAGCTGAAGGGATGATGCCTGCTTTGCCAAATGTAGCATAGGCAGAAGATAAGAGATGTGAGATGGTCTGTGAACTCCCTTTCTTCTCTGTATAAACACTCTGCATGCTGCACCTTCAGTTGCCTCTCCTCTTACCCAAAATCATTGCCCAGTAAAAGGGCACTGCTAAGCCTGTTTCCAGCTATAGCTGCTCTCCAGGGCCTGTGGAACAGTGACAGTCTGACCCAGCTGACAAAGAATATCAGTAAATTCAGGGAAGGACTAACAATGATGTATTTCCTCATTTTTCAAACAAGCGAGAGTAAGAACCAGAAAAGTAAAGGTGAGTTCTGGGTAGCACTAGATTAGAGGCAGGAGCTGTTCAGTGACTGTCAATCTGTTGTGCTCTGTGAGATTAAAAAGGTTCGTGAGAAGGACTGCCTGTCGGGGCAGTGCAGCACCCGAACGTACCAGCTGCTTATGAACCTGTTCTGGCCTGGAGCTCACCTGAGACCATTGTCACAGTGAAGGTGATGCAGGTGCCTGTGGATGAGGTGAGAATACTCTGGGAGAGCTGGGATGCTTTCACCGTAATGCTGATTTGTCTCTCTCCCAGGCAATGGTACATTCCTCCCATCACTGCGCAGTGTGCATGCAGTTTGTCCGGAAGGAGAACTTGCTCTCTCTGGCTTGTCAGCACCAGTTCTGTCGCAACTGTTGGGAGCAGCATTGTACAGTGCTCGTCAAGGATGGTGTTGGGGTCGGTGAGTTCAAGGCGGATATGGTACTGGGTCTGTATTTGCCATGTTGGCCGTTCTGGTGATGGCTGGCTGAATTTTTCTAAAATATCTCAGTAACAAGAAAATGGAGCATGGAATGAGTATTTGTGACAAACTTAGCTTGAACTAGTGGTCTTACCTGAATCCCTGGTTAGTGTTGGCATACCACCAGGAGAGCGCTACTCCTGCCTAACAAAACATGCAAGTCCATAGATCCATTTGCTGCTTTTCTCCCTTTGTGATCTCAAGAGCATGACTGTAACAAGTTAGAAGCTGCAAATCTGCTGCATTTTGAGTTTCAGTCTCTCATGATGTATTGTTGCACTGCCCCTGGAGTGCTTGTGGATGCAAACATCTGCTCCCGTTGTGTTGGGTAGAAGCCAGTGGTTGCCAGAGTTGCTTTGGGCTTTTCCTAGCCTGTCCTTCATGCTGGCATGGCGGTAACATGCAATTTTCTACTTTAAGTATCTGACCTTGTGAACACTGGTTGAAGCACTTACTGGTCCTGGATGCACATGTGCCCTGTCATCTTTCGGTGAAGACAGTTGGGCTTCAGCTTTTCAGCAGCCCTGATAGATTTGTTTCACAGTTGTGTCCCTCTTGCCACAACAACAGATGGCACCTAGGAAACTGTGTTGAATGCTCTCTGTGCATTCACTCCTTAGTAATACTAAGTTGCACTGTGCTAAAATGTTGCTTTTTCTTCTCAGGGGTCTCCTGCATGGCTCAGGACTGCCTACTTCGGACACCAGAAGACTTTGTGTTTCCATTGCTGCCTAGTGAAGAGCTGAAAGACAAATACAGGCGCTACCTCTTCAGGGACTATGTGGAGGTATTGTCTCTTTCTAAAATATTGTCTCAGTTCTAAAATACCCTGGGTAAATTCACCAATGACTTGCAGAAATTTTGTTTTAAGTGTCTTGCATCTTTGATTAGGAATGCAGTAACTGCAGCAAAACTGTCCCTGATAAACATGATGTGGCTGTTCCTGTAGGACAGCCTCACTGACAAAATGCTCTAGCAGGTTGCCAAAGTAAATTCTGCTGTAAGGTCACCCAGTAACTCCTTGGCTGGTGCTTGGCTCTTTTCCTGAAGCAGAATTCTCAGAATGTTGCAGCTGAGAACTTCAAACTTCAGTCTGAGTTTTAAAGTCCTTCTTGCTCTTGCAAGATAAGTCCCTCATCTTAGTGTAGCCCATCTGAATTGGCTTACTTAATAACATTTTATATGAGGTTTTTTTAAATTAAAGCAGCAATTGTTAAGGTTAAATGTGCAGAAAGTATTCTGGTAACTGAGAACAGACTGGGAACACTCAAGAAGCAGCGAAGCAGTATGAATGAGTGGTGTCACCTCTCTTCAATAAGAGACCCTTTGGGAGGGAACAGCCACCACAGAAGAGCAGCTGAATACATTCTGGGGCATAAGGAGAAGATGGGGAAATAGCTCAAATAGAGTAAAACGGTTTAAGTGTCTTGTTGGGGTTTTACGGTTATGTTGCTGTGCTTACTTGGTCTGTAACCCTCCATTTGAATTCCCTGTTCTAGAGAAGCTGTAAGTAACTAATACTCCCTTTCCTAATGTGGAAGAGGTTCATCTGCTCTGTTAGCCAAGACCTGGTGACAATTTTCACTCTTTTTCAACAAGAAGTAACTGACTTTTATGTTTTTGAGGATAGGAGTGGTTAAACTTGAATAGATAATGCTCTTCTGCACCCGCTGCTGATCTTACCACCTTGGTTTGTTCACAGAGCCATTATCAGCTGCAGCTGTGTCCTGGTGCAGATTGCCCTATGGTCATACAGGTACAAGAGCCAAAAGCTCGGCGAGTGCAGTGCAATCGTTGCAGTGAGGTCTTCTGGTAAGAAACAGAGAAGGTTAAAGATCACGGGGAAAGTGTATGCTGTCCTCAGAGCTACTCCGTTTGCTTGCCAACAGGTTCAGTGTGTAGAAGCATCTCAAATGCTTTGCTAGAGTTGTTTGTAACTTGAGTTAGCTTGAGTAATTGGACACTTGGGGTCTGACTTCTGCAGGTGGTCAGCTGTCCCCTTGCTCCCTAAACTCCTTGGGAGTTGGGTGTTCTGACAACCAGGGAATGCAGGACTTGAGTAATGAAGGGGTTACAAATCTACCGTTCCCATATTTTGGCTAGGTTACAAATTTTGGTGCAGACACAGTGACTGGTAGAGATTCTGGTAATGGATGTGGAGGCCTCACTGCTCTCTGCTGATATTGAGTCTTAAAGTTTATTACAAGTATTTGACTCCCAGAGTGTCTGGTGTGTTTTGAGGCTCCTGCGAGAATACATTTCTGCTGAACAGGAGCACTAATGTTCCTTGCCTGACTTCAAATGTATATGGGAGCAGAGGAAAAAGATGGCTTGCAGGGATGCTGAAGTGTCTTCTGCTCCTGGGTCTCCAGAATCACTGCTGTTGAGAATGTCTGCGGAGCACAATACAACTGGTTTAGAGACCCAGCTGGGTATCTCCATGCAGATGGCCCTTACTCACCTGGGGCTGGTTAAGGTCATGCTAATGCAGGTGCCTGATATCTACCACTGGGGTCAGGCTACTTGTTAAGCCACTAGTATGCCCCAGGCCTCTGTAGTTATGTTAGAGCAGATACAGGTAGACTCTAGGGAGGGATCTGTCAGCCCTCAGACACATGATTTGTCAGAGAAGGCCTCAGTTCACTCTCATCCTGACTGGCTTCTGCACAAGAGGGTGGGGGTTTATTGGAGTTCAGCCTTGGTCCTTGCACTCTAGTAATACACAAGTGGATTAGCATCCCTTACCCTCGCTTCGTCTCCCAGATTTTGGTCATCAGGAAAACCTCAATTCTTGAGTCAGTTCCTTGGAAATCGACATGTCTTTTTTTTTTTTTTTTTCCCCTCCCTATTAAGCTTTAAGTGTCGGCAGATGTACCACGCACCCACAGACTGTGCTACCATTCGGAAATGGCTCACCAAGTGTGCAGATGACTCCGAAACAGCCAACTACATCAGTGCTCACACTAAAGATGTAAGGACAAGCACCTGCATGTTTTTTCTTGCCCTCTAGTCCTGCCTGGGAAGCAAGATACAATTCTATACATAAGTAGCATTGTGTGCTGCTTTTTCAGAGCCTGCAATTTCTCACAGCTCCCTCTGGACTGTGATAGAACACAACTGAATGCCTTGGGAACGCTTTGTGCAGGAAGTCCAGCTGCCCTCCTGCGATAAGGACCTGGTGGTCCTTGTTCCAGACCTGGTGTGAATGTCTTTGGCAGCCAGGTGTGCTGCCCTCCCACAGGCAAAAGAACTGTGGCTACTCTGAAATGATTAGCGGAGACATATTTAAAATGGAAGGAGAGAGCGTAGTAAGTGCAGAGTCAGTATCAAATAAGGCACTAGTGGTGTTTAAATCTGAACAACTGTGTGGAGTACCGTGAACTGGAAGGTGAGGGAGATAAAGTCTTGATTTCGCGAGGACAGCAAAATGGAGTAGATGGAGTCTGTAAATTAGACATTGAAGTACTTCCAGTAGATTTAGACCCAAGAAAAAGAAATAGTATTACATATTGTGCACTCTAGTCTACCTCTAGAATTGTATTTCAAAGTTTAAAAGTTACAGATACCTTTATCCTCTAGATTAGCTGTCTGCAGATTGGAGGTTTTAATGTCTTTTGGGGATTTTGTGGCCTGTCTTCAAAACAGTTTGTAGCTGGCATTTGTTCTACCATAGCCAATGACAGTTGTGACAGTGCTAATAAGCCGCAAGATTCAGTTGTGTTAGGAAAGCGGGTACCTAGATAGATGTCATGGTTTAACCTCAGTCGGCAACGGAGCACCACGCAGCCGCTCGCTCGCTCCCTGCCCC